GAGAGAGAATGTTAGTAGTGCATATCGTAAATGTCTTGTTATGCATGGAACTCAAATGTTTTATGACCAATCCTTCACATAAATAAATACGTTCTCTCTTGAACTTTGGCTGAAATATATATTGTAGAAAAAAAATACTGTGCTTTTTTTGTTGTATTTTTTGTTGTTTGATTAATATTTGTTATTCATGAGTAATGTATCATGCGATGCAGTGAAGTCTGCACTTTCTCGCTGTCTACCTATTTTCGAAAATGATAAACTATAATAGTCTGATGTAAGAAATACGAAGAAGAGAAATTCAATTGAGGTACACTGTACTTTGGTTTAATTTACATATCGTCCTACTACATTACTTACCACAATCAAAAGATTTTAATCGAAATAGTCGTGGAAACTTTAAAGATGTGTTGTTGTCGGGTTTAGCTTATATTGAATAGGTGAGACCGTTTGTTTATTTACTTAAATGATTCATATATTACTTTTGGAAAATATCAACATTTTACTTATCTTATCTTCCTTGCTTTTATTTGAATATCTCTCAAGTGAGAAACTTTGTTAAGAAGCACTGCACTTATCATAAATAAAGCATTCAAGGTGAGACGTATACCACAAGTGAATGCATCCAAGAAAGAAAACTCATTCTTGTACAAAAAAGTTCACTTCGAAGATAATGGGGTGTGGGTGTGAGTGTGGGGGTGAGTTGGATGTGGGTGTAGGTGCGGGTATGGATATCGGGGTGTGCGTGGGTGTGGTTATTAGTGAAGAGAGTAACACCAACACCCCACATCCCACACCACACCCACACCCTCAAGATTGCTGAATTTCAATGCCCAAACGATTGATTGTTCGCGTGTTGAATGCAAATGTGAGTCTTACTGCACCACTTCAAATCTATCTCAAACGAAAAGATTTGTGGATTTATCATGTAAGTGATGGTGATCTAGCAACGTTTCAGGTCGATGAAAATATTTTAGTAAAAGGTACCTACGTGATTCTGAGGATTCTTGAAAAGCAATAACAACAACAGAACGGATCGGAAATATACTCGACTCTTGCCAAGTTTTCTTACGGTCCCAAAGCTGCTAAATTGAAATCGTAGTTACAGCAAACATGCACTAAAAGAAATTACTATCGATGCGACAATTTTTTATGTGAACACTATTTGTATATTGTTGAAAGATTGAATTTTTTGTGGACTACAAAATAGCTAATACTCTTGTGTGTTGAACAAAAGTTACAATTAAGAGTGCTAGAAACAACAGCATATTATGTTGGAAAATTGCCTCGGTTGAAGAAGTATTGTATTATTCAGAGTTTAGAGTAAAATTTCTTATCTGATTTCGTAGAAGATTGAAAGGAAAACCTTATGAGACTAAACATAAGTTTCTACAATGAAATCTGGCAGAGAAAAACACGAAAAAAAAACTGTAGGAATAACACAATAGGTTTCCTATTCAGAATCATTAAAGAAAATTTACATATTGTCTACCAAAAGGTTATGGACCTAAAAGAAGATTTGGGTGTAGATTTCAACGTATTCCTTGATGAGTTGATGAGTGGGAGTCTTCAGTTCACCCACACTTTGTTGTATCCACTTGTCAAAGCTTTTAGAAAAAACATTATTTTCTGCAAGTTTATGACTCGAAAAACTCAATGTCATAAGCTTAAATCTCATTATAAAATCAACAAACTTTATTGCATGAGAGAGTAGACATTTTATAGTATTTCACGAGCTATGCAGCACAAAATCGATAAATCTGACCAAAACCGACTTTTTTATGAGAGGGGTCCCCCATAAAATGTACTTCATATCAGAAATAGAAGAACATAAAATCTGTCTCATACTTTATGATGTTTTATTATAATTCACCATTGACTATGAATAAGTTAATTTAGATCGATGTCATTCATAGAACAGTTAGCTGTACATCGCACATTCATTTTTTACCATTTTTATAATTATTTTTTTTTTTTTGCAGAAGTTGACATTTGCTTACTGAAGTGTTTATAAGTACAAAACAAAATAGTGTTTTATGATTTACATGTCTGTTTATGATTTTTCTTATATTCAACGAATTCTTTACTTATCCGATCATGTAAATCTTTTTATCATTAAAGAAACAGAAATTTCAGACTGCTGAAATCAATGACATTTGATGTGTCAATATAAGACAACCTTGACGGTGTCAACGTAAAAAAGAAAAAAGAAAAAGAAAATTTTATTTGATGTTGACTTATGGCTACATCCACAAACTGTCATTTTAATCTACTATCTGACTATATAAAAATACATTGTTTTTTGTGTTTTCACTGATGATAGTTGAACAATCTTTTCTTTCCAATAAATTTCTAGTGTATTGGCAATTTGCTCAGGCTAAAATTTTTCTCCTAAATTACTCAATATCTCAAGTTTAATGTGTTATTAATGTTGTATCAAAAAAAGCAAGAATACTATTTTTTCTTTTTTTTTTCTCGGAACTGAATCATAATAATATTACAAGAAGAGAAAGAAAGACAAAAAAAAAAACATAGTACGAAATTAGAAATACGTATCAACATAAAAGTAAAATTTGCGCACTTGTTTCGAACATTAATCATATATAGAAGAAATAACCTGCAAGACATACGACGATAAGCGTCATTCTTATACAAGTTTAAAAACCTCAGCTTCCATATAAAACATTTTGATAAGAAATATTTCATATTTATGAGATGATCGATGTCTAATAAATACTATTTGTTACACATTACATTTTTGCTCTTCGTGTGCTTTGCACGGAGTCAATCTTTGACTGAAGACACTACTGATTATACTACAGTGGTTGAACCAACAAATAGCAATCCATCAATAGACCAATCAACTGCTGGAGAAGCATCAACATCCGAACCAAATAGTAATGATATAACAACAGTCCAATCAACTACTGGAGAAGCATCAACATCCGAACCAAATAGTAATGATATAACAACAGTAGAATCGATTTCTAGTAGTTTATCCACCCTATTGACGCCATTTTCTTCATTTGATTCTACAACTAATTTAGTAGCAACAACTACTGATAAAATAGAAAATTCTATTGTAGCTTCCGCATCCACGATCGATTCAAGTACGGCTCATTCTTTTACAATAAATCCAAATATTACTGATGCACCAACAACTGCTGATTTATCAAGCATAAGTTCAATGATGTCACATACATCAATAACTTCTACTAGCATTCCGTTCATAGGTAATAAATAAATAGTCTTAGTTTTATAAGAATCAATTTAAATACGCTTGTCTTATAGGAATAAATCTTAATGAAACTTATAGTTATGAAGTCGAAAGTCCATCTCCTCTAGAGACCAGAATCGTTAATAGAACCGATGTTAAAGAGAGTGTGCAGAGCATGGTATGTCAAATGAACATTCAATAATTTCATATTTTGATTGTTAATACAGGTTCATGCTTCATTTAACTTAACTGATTTCAACATCACAGTAACAAAAATTGAAATTGCATCAAGAACGAAGTATAATACAAGATTTTCTTATAAAAAAAAAAACTTCTGTTTATTATCTAATAGAAATGCTAAACAGAATAATGGGATATACGATATGCTTGTTGATATTTGGTTTAGAAGTAATCGTAATAATTGCAATCTAGCCTGTATAGATAATGCTGCAACGTCAACACCACTGATCGAAATTTTACTACCAGGTCTAAATAATACTTCAGTGCGCTTTAATTATACATTTAAACGACCAGTTAGAATCCCTAGTATGTTTATTCCAATATTCTTTGATTATAAATCAATTTACGGTATATATTTTTAGATCCAACAATAAATGTTCCAAAGGGTAAAATTTTAAAAGAAAAACTTTGTATATATAGTGTGACTCAATTGAATATCCTTTCTCTATTATTCTTCGTTAAGACTACTGTAGGTTATATTTTATTGATAGTATATAATTAAAGAATTTACTGTATCGAACAATATATTAATCATAAATAACAAATCAAGTTCAGAGAACAACAAATACATAAGAAAGAAAAAAAAGAGACTATATATTTTTATTAGTGTCCAATAAAAGGAAATCATATTATTATCTTTTCTTTAGTTTCGTGTATATCAACATAAATATTGGTTTAGTATTTACTTAGATAAAAAATGACAGACAATAACACGATTTCTCCTTGCTGGACTTTATAATAAAAAAAAAATGTAGTCCCTTTTTCTCGTGTGTATTTGATATTGATTATCAAACAAAAAAAGGCGATCTGCAATAGTCTTAAACATTTAAATCAATAAGTTTTCAATGTTATATTTTCTAGGTGGACCTTCTCCAGGTGTTCCAGCACAATTAGGTATGGGTTTAGGTATATCATTCTTTGGTGTTATACTTATAGCAGAAACAATCTTACTTTATCGAATAACTAGTTAATATAATATATTACATTCATAAGAATATGTAATGACTAATTATTACGCGTGACAATTTTTATTTTTGCTTATTTTTTTAATTGAGTTGTGTGTGTGTGTGTGTGTATTTTCTTTTGTGCTATTCTTTTAATAAAACTAACAAACTTATAACTTTTTTTAATAGGTATGATTTACAAGAGTAGTAAGTGAAAATAATTATAAAATGAATGAATATAATGATTGATTATGTATGAAAGAATAATTCAACTTGTAATAGTTTTAAAAATTTGGACAAAAAAAAAAAATCTTAAGTTTCATGTCAATGTTAAACTATGAACTGAGTAGAATTTAATAATGCTTAGAGAAATTGACTGCTATCGATTACAGCAGATAAAACAACACTATCTATGTATTGAAATAAGAGAAAAATAATGCATTATAAGAAATATTCCAAAACTGAAGCAAAATTCTCTGTAACAAAAGAAACAAGATTTTTGAATTTTGTACAATAAATTGAAAAAGAAAACTCTTCTAAATAAAACTCAGGATTAGACCATAGTAAGAATATTAATGTAAGTATTAAAGAAAAAAAAATACAATCACTTATATATGATAGTTTTCAACATGAGCCATATATTATCTTCTTAGGTATTTTACATTATAAAAAATTCTATAAGTATTTTAAATAAATCAGCCCATATAATAGTAAAAGACTAAAACTAAATCAACATAAATTAATATTCTAGTTAGACAAACGTTGGAACCTCTTCAGGTGTTAAATTATTTTTCGATCGAAATGATGTTTATTTGATCAGTACTAATTAGAAATAGAAAACTCTACTGAATTTTTCAACAAAAAAACTGTGATCCTCATCAGTTCACATGAGATTTACAACTTCACACTTTGTTCATATATTTTCATCCTCAAAAAAAGAAAATACTAGTTGCATCAGCAAAAAGTCTCATTGCGAATTTCTTCAAAAACAATTATTATAAAAAAAAAAGAAAATTTTTCGAAAAGAGCAAAAAAAAAACCAATGTCAAAAAATAGAAATTGGTGGAATCGAATTATATTCACTACAATGAATTGCTCGTTTACCAAATAAACACCAACCAGCAAAACCTTTTGTATTATTTTTTGTACATAAATCTAATGTACATTCTATACATGATCGTCTAAATTTATTTAATATAAAATTTGTTGAATTAAATATAATAGTATAATAAACTTACGGATAGAATTTATTAATGGGTTTATTTCGACAAAAACAATCACATTGAATAGTTATAGTCAGATTTATAGAGATGATTAAAATGAGAAATGAATAGAAGAAATTAAACATGAATTTATTTTAGATTAATATTCAAGAATTTAGAATTAAATGAAACAAGAAAAAACATAGTTACTTAGTATTCGAATATAATAATAATAAATTAATATTGAATTATTAGCGCTAAAATATCTCTGCTTTAGTAAAGTATCAAATAATAATCGAATTTAATTATATATTATTCGTATGTTAAAAATGGTTTTGAATAAATTTTTACTACCAACTAAAATACTATCGTACTTGATCAAACTGAAGTGGAGATATCACAATTCTTTTATTATAGTGTTATTTATGAGCCACTCTAAATGTTTGATATGCATATATTATGTAATGATTTCTTATAATAATAAAACAAAAGAAAATTTTGAAAGATCGTCATAAATCTAACGGTTACATTTTGAATGATGAATCTTCAGATTGATCTAAATATATCTCTCATTCACCTATTATCGGAATTTTAAAAAAAAGGCCATCGAGCAAAATGCTTACAACATTTTAACGAAGATAGCTAGAGTCCTGCGGTTTTCATTATTTGAAAGAAGAGACAGGGAGACACATTTTCCTTCAATATTGTATAAGACGAAATCATTTAAAAATCAGTCATTTGTACAAAACATCGAAAAAAAAACGGTCTGTCATTCAGATGAAATTTTGATTTTGACATCTGATCTAGACAGATCTATAGTTCAAGATATAATTTGAATGATTATCTTTCCTCATCGTAATTGTTGAACAAATAAAATCATCTATTCAATCGCACGAAAATTATGGAATTCTTTTAACTTTTAAACATATTTTCTTACTTTTTTGTCAAAATTTCATCTGAATGACAGATCGTTTTTTGTACGTTTTTTCGATAAATGACTGATTTCGTCTTATACCATATTAGAGGAAAAGGTGTCCCCCTGTCTCCTCTTTTGAATGATGAAAACCGCAGGACTCTAGCAATCTTCGTTAAAAAGTTATAAGTATTTTGCTCAATGGCCTTATTTTAAAATTCCGATAATACATGCTTGACTGGTTGTATACGTAAAAGTAAAATAATCATTGGTATTTTGCAAAAAATAATAAATCAGATGATTATCATGATTTATCATTTCAGCAAAACTATTCAACGAATATCAAAAAGTGAACAATGGAAATTAGTTCAAAAATTTTTTTTTATTAAGTTAAATTATCTTTCACAAATGTCATTGTAGATTTATTTTTTTGTTGTTCATTGTTCCATAATTCTTTTTTTTTTCAATAGATTAAATCTAATCTTTTCATGTTATTCAAGACAGAAACTACAAAAAAGATTAGTTCTATGTTTTTGATGTTCATCTGTTTGTTGTTTTGCATGACATCATTTTTTTTCTTTTTGTCTCTACGCATTTGAAATGACGTTTCTTTTATTTCAATTACAAAATTAAAAATAGAAAGAAGAAAATTTGAAAGAAAAAAGAAGAAATCAATTATAATGGACTGACATCGGATCCTTTTTTTTTTATTCAAACTCAAATTTAAAATACACATCGATTCGAAATACATTTTAAAGAATTATATAATGTTAAATCGATTTCATATTTTCAAGTAACTTGTAGACAATGCTTCTAGCAAAATAAAAATATTTCTATCTGATGTTTAACAAAAAAACAAATAATTATAACTCTATTCACTTATATGAGAAAGAAAAATAAATCTTGAATATTAATAAGAAAAAAAAAAAAAAGTTTGACTTTCTCTCTCTTGAGAACATACAATTTATAAGGTTTCAAACTCATAAAAGCTCGTCAAATGCAATTAATCAAAGATAAGAAATATATCATTACTTATTTCCTTATAAATAAATCAATAGAATTCTATTTAATTTTATTAAATAAAATTTATATTCCACCGAGAAAACAAAAAAAAAATTATTAAGTTTTTATCTAACATATCAAATAAATATGCATTTGTACATATTAAATCATATCTTTTTTATAACAAAGAATAATATCTTCATCAGTTCCAAATGTTTTTCGTGCTAGATCAAAATTTTCTTTTGTTGTTGTACAAAATTCATCATTTTGACCTGGATCAACATAACGAATAAAATCATTATTTTCATTTGTTATATAACCAATTACAAGTATATAATGACCTTGATAAGATGATGATACTGTTGAAATTAATTTATTAACTAATCGATCTAATATTGTTGTTTTACATGTACAACATTTAAGTTTATTAGCATCAATTAAAACTAGACAAGGTGTTTGTTGTTCAATTAAATGTTTTTTTATATCTAACCAATCTATTGAACTTATTTTAACATTTGATGTTTCACTAACAAATAATTTATTAACTCTTTCTCGATCTTTATGTATTAATGTTTGATAATATGGTGTATTATCATAATCTGATGAACAACCTATTGTTAATGTATATAGTACAGCATGAATATCAGATTGATGAAGTAAATGTAATAAATCAATAGTCCATGTACTTTGATTACATTCATAAGATGATAATAAATATTCAAATTTTAATAAATCAAGTTGATAATAATCAATTAACATTCGTAAACATGTTATACCACAATCCCAATTTGATTTTTGTTTAATGTGTTTTACCGATAGAATAAGAGTCATTATCTGGAAAAGAAAAAAAAAAAAAATAGCTAGTAGCATTAAATTGAAGAACAATTGTGTTCTTTCACCTCTCATAGACAAACACCTATAGTGCTTCTCGTCGCTAGGTGCTTCGATCATATGTCAATATTCAGCTATATACACTGTGTACAATAATACGAGGAAAAGGAGGAGAAAAAAAGAAATTGAGAACACTGTATGTGTGATGAGAAACAAATCAAAATTTAAAGTAACAACGAACGATGGCAGAAGAAAAAAAAGGAAAGAAGAAGAAGAAGAAAAAAAAAGAAATTTGATTTCATCAAACAACATCTCCATCACTCAAACCAACGCCACAACTGAATCGTTTAAATCACTAAGATATTGTATCAATGGCTGATCGTCGAACGAATGTTCCAACTGAACCTCATGGTACAATAACAATGAAACCTTCTGTACGAGATGAAATTCATGCATCAGTTACTGGTACTGGTCCATCGGCATCTTTAGCAGCAGCAGCTGCTGCTGCAGCAGCAATTATTCCTGAACGTCGTCAATCAGTTTTTCGACGTTTATCAATGTCAATGGGTAGTAGAAAATCTTCCATGTTACCTTTATCAAATCATCCTCGACCAAATACATATCGTATGGAACCAGATAATGAATATCGTTTTCGTCCTTATCGTGTTCAACCTAAAGTACTTGAAATATTAATAGATCGTTTAAAAGATAAAACATATGATGAAGCAACTGTTAATGAATTAGTTAAAGATATAACAAGAAATGTTCATCAATTAATGAAAAATTTTCAATTACCACGTTATAAAATTATTATTCAAACAGTTATTGGACAAAAATTTGGTGAACTTTTACGCATTGCATCACGATGTTTATGGGATTCAAAAACAGATAATATGATATCAGTTAATTATGAAACAAAAGATATGATTGCTGTTGTCACTGTTTATGCTGTATATTTTGAATAACTGATTGCTTAATATATTGTAAAAAACCTAATCAATGGTTTATTTTATTTAACCATTCAGAAATAAATATTCAATGAGGTCGCTCATGGTTTTAGCGAATAATTATTCACTGTTTTTTTTTTGTTTCTCTATAATGAATGAATATTAAAATTTATTAATTTATAATTTCTTTAGCAACAATTTTCTTTTTGCAATAGAATTCTATTTATAATAGATTATCGTTATTCCGTTTGAAGGGTCAAAAAAACATATCTATTCTAGGAACAAAAAAGAAAAATAACTAAACTTATTATGTTGTCAACAGAATTTATTGCGTTGAAAACTCAAAATGAATGACAGAAAAAAAATTAGATATAATTGACAAGCCAAAAGTCTTGTAACCATAATTGATTGTTTCGACAATTATCTATAAATAGAAGACAAAAAAAAGAAAATAAGCAAATATTATAGACTGACATCAATATAAAAATAGGCTTAATTATAACCTAGAAACAAAACTATGCAATTATCAATTTTGATCAATACGATTTGTATTTTGTTTATGATGATAATTTTTGTTGATAGTTACGGGTAACTAAACTCTCTAGAATTTGTTTTTTTTAATTGAATTATAATAGTTTTATTTCTTTTATTAGAGAAGCTAATTGTATATGTAAAAATTCTTCTGAATGGACTAGAGATTGTTGTAGTTCTACTGGTGGATATTTTATTTATCGTAAATGTTATAATACATTTGGTTTATCTTTTATTCAATGTTGTCAATATGCTAGATTACATGGAGCTTGTGTTAGTTAAAAATAATGAAAAATTATTTTCTTTTTTTTTTCTCTAAATATAATCATGAAGATGAATTTTTTTTTTTTGTTCCTATTTGAGTTTTTCTATGAATAAAAATAAAACTTTTTTTCAAAAAAGATTTTCTTTATTTTTTTATTTTTTACATTCTATTAGATGATGAATTATCGTTAAGGATTGTTTTCATAACATTTTAGTTAAGAAATGAAAAAAAAAAAAAATAGAGATAATTATCTGCAGGAAGAATTATGTTATTTTCCGATAACAAATACTGCTGAAGATTACGAATATAAGTCATAGTCAGTTTTTTTTTGAAATCGATTTTATGGCAAGATTTAAGTATGTAAGAAAATAGTTACATATTCATCGGCTTTACTCTTCCATTGATTTCAATATATAAATTATAATATTGTTACATTTTTTCAAACACACCAATCATGATTTTTTTTTTTTTGAATAATTTCTCTGACCAGTTTGATTTACTGAACTTTTGTACGCATGAAGAGAAAGACTCACTTGTTTTGTTGAAATTTTAGAAATTTGAATGATTTTATCGAACAAAAAAAAATTAAGATTTTCTTCCGCTGTTTTTTTATGACATAAATCACGGAAATGGTTAGTTATGGAAAATAAAACATTTCAAAAGAAGTGTGTTCTTTCTAACACATATAGTTATCATTGAAGTAGAATGGTAATGAATCATCAAACAATTGGACGCATGATATTGATGGCAACCTTCCGTAAGGTGACTAGATGAGTTCAATTTTTGATTCCAACAGTAGACACAATGCATTATTGAACCAATCTACATATGAATGTTCTGTGGTATATACACATTTTAAATATTTTGTATCAGAACTTTTAACTATTGCAAGCCTTTAATGCGATATTTTCGAAGTTCGAATGAATTCCAAATTGAATAGTATCGTCTCGAAGAATATAATTTATTTCTATTTCAAATAATAGGATTCGTTATGAATGTTTCAATATAAAGCAAGAGAAGTGAAACCTAATTCTTTCCAAAAATCTTTGATAGATATATCATTTGAATAATTTATTATTCAACAGTAAGTAGGTCTCTTCATCTTAATACAATTCTTCTCCGTAAAATTTTCATAATAAGCATATTAACTAACATCTTGTCTTAAGTTATAATACGATCTTAAATTCTTTGTGTTGAGTTTGAAGCTGAGAAATGATCACGATTTTTTTAAAAATTTATTCTATAGTTTTATGTTAGTATACAAACAATAAATTCTAATGATTGATTAAGCTCAAATAGTAACATGTTAAATCTTAACCATCTTTCATTTCAATTATTTATGAAAGAAAAGATTTCTACAAACAAAAAAAAAAATAAATTAAATTTTACTAATCATATTCTATAATTGATTTCAAATGTATTCTTTATTCATAATTTGTTTTTTTCTGAAATATATTTCATATGCATATATAAATATTTTTTTTTTCATCTTTTTCAATAAAAATAAAAATAATAAACAAGGGTATACACAACTCATCAAAGTAATATATATATATATATATTATTATAAGGACAAGGTAAAGAAAGAAAAAAAAAAAACTGATCTATATTGATAAATTATTTTTTTGTTATTGTTTTACCATTAACAGTCTTTGTTAAATCAGTAGTAGGTGTTGATTTTGATGATCCAATATAACTTTCACGTCTCATTTTAACAAGACCTTGTGTTGTACCACCGACAATTGTTTTTGATGGCAATTCTTTTTTAATTGTTTGTTGTGATGTTTGATTTGTTGTTGATGTACGTCTAATACGTTCAGTAATAGTTGAATTAATAATTGAATTTGTTGATTTAGATGGTGGCATACGTTCATTAACTTGATCAAGTATTTTAGCTGTTGAAAAACGTTCTTTAGTTGAAGCATTTTTATCTCGAAGAATATTTGCAACAACTTCAGCTTCAGTTTTAACTTCATCACTATTATTTAAATCTGTTGAACTAGTTGATGGTGTTAAACCACGTAATGTAATAGCATTTTCACTTAATTCACGTAATGATTTATATGCTTTAGCTACTTTACCTAATGCACGAATTTTTGTACGAATTTGTTCTTTACGTTGTTCACGGTTATTACGTTCAATTAATGTATCAATATCTGCATCATGTTCAGCTAATTCTTCATCTGTACATATATTAAGAATATTTAAAAGTACATCAATAACTTTTTCACCAACAAATGGTAATGACCATGAAAAAACGTCCATAAAATTTGGTAACCAATATGGATGTGATGAACAATTAAATTGTCGAATATTAACAACATTATTTTCATATTTCATAATAGCTGCTTTATTTTGATAAACATCTAAATAATTTGGTGCTGAAAAAATTGTTATTAATGATGGAAAACCAGTTTCAGCTGATTTTTTATACATTCGATAGCCAACATCTTGTGCTTCATGAGCACGAATTATTGATAATATCTGATTATGTATTAAAAATTCATTAACAGCAGCATATGTATAAAAATAAGAACAACCACGTGTTGTATTTGTTAGAAATAAATGTTCATTATATGATGAAGGAATTATTTGTGATGTATTATTTATTGATGAATCACTTAATGGAATATTATTATGGCGTTTTGATGTTGATGATGAAGTTTCTTTTTCATTTCCATAATCTTCAATTGGATCAGACCAAAGAAGATCACACATAGCACCATATGGTGGGGGTTCATGAAATCGATCTAACTAAAGATCAAAGAACAACAAAATATATATATATATAACGAAACTTCATATAATTATTCAATTATTTATTTATTTAAAAAATTTGTAATAACTAACGAAAAAAAAAAACAAAATATTGTTGATTGATTCAATCAAATAAATAACGTTGAAGTACGATTATATTAGGTCAATGTAGACACAGCTAAACAATATTAGATAACGTAAGGACATTCTTCTATTTATAACAAATGTGGTTCGTCCTACACAATGTTAATGACAGCTGCTGTCTTAGAAAATAAAAAAGAAACATAACAGCCATTACTTAAGTCTATTCAGAATAGTCGAAATAAAAATATTTACTAAGAAGTATTTCCTTCAATGATATTCTAATTTTTCTAAATAGAAATCAAGAACTCTTAAATTGATAACAATCATATTGACTATTTTTTCCCCTTACAAAAAAAAAACAAATTTTTCCACAAAAACACAATAGAATAAACATATGGATAAATAAAGATATAATTCAATGAGACAGTCAGTCATAAATGACTACTAAGATATATGTTTATATTGTTTTTTTTTTCGTTTCATTACTTCTTTGATATATATATACATATATGACTTTGTATGCGTAAAAAAAGTATTTATCCATAAATGGAAAAAAAACATTTCCTTATCGACTGATCCTATTATCTACTGTCGTCTATGTAGGTGATGAAGTTTTCTCAAGCATGAAAATATGATTAATTGACATTTGACATATATGTGTCGAAAATTTTGAAATACACACTGAAAATAGAGGTCATTGTGTAACTATCCGTACTATTTCGGACATTATGAGTTCTCTTATCTCTTGTGATCAATGATGACATACAACAGTTAATATTTGTAAAAACAAAAAAAAAAGAGAATTTCAGCTGCAATGAGAAAAAAAACTAGCGAAGAAGTAAATCTTCGGTCAGATCATCATATCTGATATTAGTCCGATTTCGACTAGAAAATAATAAAACTACATGACAAGATATTAAATCAATTGATTTTAATTTAAAATTTTATTTTTAATTAAATTATTTAGTTTTGTTTCTCTTAAGATATTGAATATCAAAGAAAAATCGATGACTAAATCTTCTTATTATATATCATAGTTTTGCACTCAATAATCTTATACAGAAAAAAAAACAAAAAACAACAACTTATGTCATAGCACTTTTGTTCGAAACTATTTGTTTACTTGTCTGTCAAATATTTTACTATAAAATTAGAATTCTACTAATTTTGTCATAACTGTATAAAAATAAGATGTCCAAGTCTAATCAATTTTTCAATTTTTATTTTTGTTTCTATTTCTTATTAATATCTATTTGTATGAAATAATAACATATGAGAGTGTAGGAGTATTTTTGTCCTACTTATCAGTTAATCTAATCAATAAAAAGAAAAATATTTTTATAAACTCAATAATACTAAGATTGTATTCAAAATAGAAAAAAAAACAAACAAACTTATAAACAATCTTAATTCAAAAAGTGTTTTCTATTAAATAAAATTAATTATTAAAATATACCTTTCGTATATCATTTAATGTATGAATTTCCGGTGAAATTCCACCATGTACACATAAAAATTGTCTATTCATTAATGCAGCTAATGGTAAACAATCAAAAGCAGTCATACAAGATTCATAAATTTTTTCTGTATATTTAACTAAACATTCTTGTTTAAAACTAAATATATAAATTAAAACAATAAAAATACCAATACAAAAGAAAAAAACAAAAATTTTTCCTTACGTAAAATATTCTGTTAAATGTCGACATTCATGATTTCCTCTAAGTAAATAAAATGTTTTTGGATAATGAATTTTTAATGACCATAAATAAAGAACACTATATATAAAAAGCCAAAAAAAAACAAAATAAGAATTACAAAACAAAAACAAAAGAATTCAAACCATTCAATTCCAAAATATCCTCGATCAATATAATCACCAAGAAATAAATATCGAGTTGTAGCAGGAGAACCGCCAACTTCAAATAATCTATTAATAAATTAAATATAAAAGATAATTAATTTTATTTGATACTATTTTTTTTAGTTTACTTGATTAAATCATAAAATTGTCCATGAATATCACCACATATTGTTAATGGTGCATCAATATCAATCATTGTTGGTTCATCACGTAGAATAGCAGCACCTTAATGAACAAATCATATAGAAAAAAAAACAAAAACTTCCTCATTATTATTGTTGACAAATATATCTGTTTTCTTTTTTTTTTTTCTTATGTGAATGATGGATAAATGTCATATTGGAAAAGAAAATGTTGATTTATGAAAGCGCTGATTTCATATCAATAATAAACAAATTAGTTAATCGATTATAAAGTTTATCTTGACTTTTGTAATTAAAAAAAAAAAAGAAAACTGAACTCATTTTTGCCGTATTATTTATTTACATATTTGTAATAAAAGTCTTATCTTAATGGAAATACATAATTCTCGATTACAGTTTGTTCGTACTCATAGAACATTTTTATGTATCTTATTTTACTACAGAAATAACTTAATGACAATTGTCATATAATTTGAGAAAGAAACAAAAAAACATAAAATCTTTTATTTTGTTTTTTTACCAGCATCGATTATTCGAATTGCAGCTTGTTCAGTAACACGACCTTCAAGTAAAAGATGTTGTTTAAGAATATCTAAATTAGGTTTGTCATCTGGATCGGATGGATGAGAATAAATATCATTAATATCAAGACGATGTGAGGGTGGTGTTGGAACTGTTTTACAATTTCTGTCTTTTGTACTATATTTTGAAGTTGTTGTTGATGATGATGATGATAACGCTGATGGAGCGTCACTAGTTTTATCACTACTTGTCATGAAGAAATTTAAATTTTCATTATTCTAAAGTGAAATAACATAAAATGAATATATTGATATAAAAAAACAAAACCTAATGATTCTGTGCGGCTTTATATAGATATCTAATTATAAGTCAAGTGGTTTTCTTGTAATACATATTCTTTGAGGCTTTTTTCTCTCACCTTAATAATTATGTTTTATAGAAATACAACAATGGTAGAAGTTTTTAATATATGAATCAATGTTGTTGTAATATATTATAAAGACGAATATGTATTTGTATCTATGCTTTTTTGTACACACTTCTTTATTCCACTAAGCGAATATGTATATGTACACGTTGAGAATACGGAAAAGAAAGAAAGAAAGAAGAGAACAAAAAATAACGATTACTAACGTTGTCTACACCGTCACTTGAGTTATATAGTTAAGAGCCAAAAGGAATGAATTGTCTTTTGAGAAAAAAAAAGAGAATAGCACACATTATGGTACATGATTGCGTATATGCTCGTTTTACTAATACAATCCGACTTGTCTTTCTGTCTATCTTAAGTTGTTTGACATTGTCTACGCAAAAGGATATAATGAAAAAGCAGTTATCCTGACGACGATAGAACATATATTGTTGTCGTACAGAAATTTAGATTGCTTGTCTATTTTTTTTTCTTTCATTCCTTTAACTATTTTCTTCTTTTCATTTATTTTTTTTTGTCTAACGTTAATAACAAACTTGATAAATGGATGCATGAATATTATTTTCTACTTGAAAATATTAGCAAAATGTTCCTAATAGAAAACTACAATATATATATATCTGTATCTAATATATGTTATATGCATGCATATTGGCATATGAATGATTGACATTTATGTGTGTGATGAAAGAGCAACAACAATAACAGCAATGACAAAAATAACAACCAACATGAAGCATTTTTTTCATCTAAAATATGTCAAGAGAAATATATTGACAGAACAGGGCGGAACGAGCTTTTCTCGTCTTATATTAGTGTACCCTGAAGGAAAAGAAAAGATGTAACATAGTATGAGAAACACGATCAGTAGGCAAGAAACATTATATTTTAAGATTGTGCCATAATACTCGCCATCATTAGATACATTATATACAAAATAACAACAATTTCTTTGCTTGATTTCCATGTCGACTAGGATCCAAATATCTTCTTAAAATAGCTTGATAACAAAAATGTTATACATGAAACAGAATTTCTCATTATATAGTCATTTACAGTTGTACAACGAATATTTCTCCTATCATTAAATATTCAATCAAACTATTGCTAAGTTCATATGTACTTAAATTTTCTACGATATAGAAGAAAAAATAAAAAGAACTGATTAACTTTTGTTGTTAAAGGAAATAATAAAGCAATCATTGAAATCATCAATACAAGTACATGTAATCAATGTTAAGTTGACTTTATAAAGTACGTAATATGAGATAAAAATAATGGTTGTTTTTTTCATTACACGATGACATTCGTACGAACTCATTCAAATTTCTTCTGTAAATAATAGACATATTTCTGATTAACCAGAGGGATACCAAATAAGTTAGTATGTTTTAATAAGAATCCAATAGAAATCATCTTGCTATCTACAGCTGCATGAAATTCAATAGTTTAGTCATCCGAAAAATATGTGTCGATAATTATTAGGAACTTTTATCATTAATTTCCCATTCAATACATATGGAAAAGAATTGATTAGAAATGAATATGATAAGCAAATCAATTTCTCTTGAGAATACCAAAAAAACATATATATAAATCAAATATCATTACTGAGCTTCGACCTTTATTCATCATCACACTACTTATCACAAGCCATTTCAATGAATTAACAATAAGAATATTTCTTAATTTTATGCTTTTTATCCTCTTTAAAGACCAGGTATAATGCATTTAATATGGATTTATATGCATCATGGAACCATTTATTTAAGCATGATTACCATTTCTGAAAGAATTCTTGCAGTCTCAAATGATTGTAGCACTTCTAACAGATTTATAACTAATTGCAACTGGGTAAACTTAAAGTCCATTACATTCTAACACCGAAATCTCTGCTATCTGTCTCAAATGCAAGTCTTAATATTCTAATATCTTTGATCCATACCACTAATTGTAAAATATATAAGTTCTTTTATATTCTCTTATGAGTTTTGTCCGAACTAAATGTATATCAAAAGGTCTAGAATACTGATCGAAGTCTATATTGTTTTGTCATTAGCTAATTGATTCTAATCATGTTCTTTTTTTTTTATATGTAATCAGAAAATAAGTTGACATTTTCAACTCTACAAGTCTGCAAATGTAAACACAACAAGCGATTTTACATAAAATATTAATTTGAAGTGTTTTGTTTAACAACAAATATGTTAAGTTTAAACTATCTCTTGAAAAAAAACATCATGTAATCAGTAAAGTTATATAGTAGATGCTATTGGATAAATCCATTCATTTCATAGATTGATATCAGTTGTTGTTTTTTTTACTATGATGAATTTACAATACTATGGAATGTGATAGCTGATCTATTTTTTAAAATTCTAACAAAAAAAAAAGTATGGATGAAGAACAAAGAGTAAATAGTGGACTTTTTAATATTTTTCTTGTATTTAAATTGTTTCGAAGTAATATGAAATAGCATGACAAAATATAAACATGTCTATTTTACATGATTTTGTACTAAATTCAGCATATGACATATGGTTTTTCACATTAGTTAAAAACATGAGAAACGATATATAAAAATGTTATATGTTCTTTTTTTTGAGGAGAAAACAATTGGTCAGTACAGTCTCTTGAGGGTTAAAATGTCATACTTATATGTCTTTTCGTAGCACCTTTATTATACCAATAGAAAATCCATTAAGTTAAAAAATCTTTAATAAATGATAGTTTCTTACCAAGAATAATCAATCAGTAAACGAACAATTTGTCTTATTTATTTCTACATTGCGAATAATTTTTACTTACGCTCTATCTTTTATTTCTCATGTTACAATTCGCTAGTTATTAACTAATTATTTGCTTCTTTTTTTGTTAACTTACGATTATTATTATTATTCTAGCCATTGATTTAACAAACAAACACGTCAGTTGTACACATCTATTACATCTGCAATAGGTCTAAGTGTACTATTACGTGTCTCAATAACCCACGCATGTCCTAGAAATCGCTAAAAAATTGTTGATTAATCGCAATATATCGAAATGATAATTGTGATTTAAAACGCAATTAATCGTCGATTTTTAAAATGATTATTAGGATAAATTGGTATTAATTCTAGAATTATTTTAAATATTAATCATAGCTTTATCGCGTTTTCAGAGGAATTTTATTAATTTTTTTTTTAAACCACATCTAAAAAAGAAGAAACAGTGTTTCTTTTTTTTTTACATGTTTTCTGCATAAACTTCGGCAGAAAAAAAAGAGAATGTTACACGTACTAACATAGATAACGAAAAAAAAAAACTATTTAGAAGATATGAATTTCTATTGAGACATAAAAATATAGTATATCGATGCCATAGGAACTAAAAGTACTAGATGAGAAATACAAGATTCAAGTAAAAGAAATAAATTAGTAAAACATAATACCGAATATCATAATCAAAAGTAAGTATAATGATTAAAAATATCTTCAATTATAAGAGTATTCAAGTTTAATAATTATTTTTCTAATTCTAATAATCATTAGGAACTGTCTATCAGTTTCTTGTATGTATATTGAAATTCTGTTACATTGATGACATCGATTATGTTGATTAGTTTTCAGAATCATTAGCAATATTATTGTTATCTACAAGAGAAAAGTATGAAAACATATGTTTTGGATTTACCGAGAAAGATCTACCGTATTTATTCATATTTTTAAGACTCTTCGTTAGAGATTCAAACATTGGTACTCAAATATTCACTCGTAAAAATCAAATTTTTCTCTAATATAATCTATAATACAAATAAAAATGTTTACGTGATGACTTAGAAATGATTTACGTCTAATAACTGTTTCTTGATGTGGATCAATATGAAAAAGTTCTATTCGTTGTTTGAAGACCTGATCGACAACTTTTAATACAAATCTATAGAGTAGAATTTAGAAAAGAACTATAAATATTTTGACTAGAATCAGTTTTCTTTCCTTAATACTTTCTCATGGGTTTTGGCTGTATTTTTTTTCAATGTTGAATGTTTTTGGATGTTAATCATACGAATGAGAAATACCAGTTATTTGTTTGCAAAGTTGATCAAATCTATGATTTGATTTTTCAAGAGTCAGGGATGATGAAGCATCATTTATTTGAAATCGTATTGCAAATATTTTTTAAGATATCCTTGATGACATAAAAGAATTTATATTTAGTGTTTCTTGATTTTATATCATAATATGATCTATCACTAATAAAAACAAACTAAATAAAAATATTGAGCTTATACTCATTGACCTATGGCACTAGTGTACGCCTGTATTATCAGCTTAAGAAGCTCTGATCTCTACGTTGTATAAGTAATCATTACTATATGACGAATATTCTACACCTTATCTCATATGCGATACTTAGATGTTCTATTCTGCGATCTTACTCTATGTTTATATTTATATCCTTCGTCTTCTGTTGAATATAATCAGCACTACAATGCTGTCTATATTTTATCTCTCATGATGTACATCTGTCACGCATTTAAACAATATTCATATGTCAGCTGTCAGTAGTATAACGGAAAAGAATCTCGATTATCTTGAAGTTTCATAAAGTTTTTGAAAATTTCTTCAAATCATTTAAAGTTTTTTTATCTGAAATCTACTAAAGTTTACTTCTTTCTTCTTGATGCAGTGTGATAACCAAATATTACATATACAATGTTGAATTTCTACGACATCTGTTTATTGATATAAGACAGAAATCAAAAAAATGAAGTATCACCGAATAGGTGGAGGATTTACAAAAAGCAATATTTGCGTCTATTTTAAAAGTATTATTGTATCTTCTTTAATTGCTCAAATCGTACTTAGTCGTTTTCGCTACAAATGTCAAAAATTGAACGTACAAGGACTGTATATAACGACCGCGCACGTTGATATACGCCCATATACGGCAGCCGTAGAACTCCGGATACGTAGTACATCATGTTTAGTTTTAATCACTCCATATATTTTTACGACTTCTATATACGCGATTCATTTCACTCTGTACAAATTCATTTAAGACTTCCTTATATTACCGTTTATCTCCGTAAACATGCATGTTCGACCTAGATTGATTATGTAACCTAATGAAAGATATGCTACTTACATCAAATTTGGTAATTAGTCTTTTTTTTCGTTGTGCAGTGTTTTTAGGTAAGTATGCTCTCTTCGCCGACTCGACGTAGAATATTTACAGTGCGTTTTCATGTCATGTCAGTTTTCGGCGATGAGCATTACATTCTTTGAAAATCAGTTCTTGAGGAGAATTAGCATGCGTTTGCAGTAATAAGCTCGAATTCTCTTCAGGATATTTTTTTCGCTGACAAGAAACTATCGAAAAGAATCAGATAACTGTTATCCTTTGTTGCTTAAGCCTATTACAAATATCTTTGCCAGTATTACTATCAACAACATTAAAATCTTTGATCTACAGGCTCAACATTATGCTTAAGTTGGAGTACTATTAGAAGTCCAAGAGCCGGAAAATTTTGCCGTATAATTTAATTCATTATCTAACGCCATCATACATTGACTACTAGTGACATTTGTCTATTCATAGTGGCTGTTGCTGAGAGAAATAACATGACCGATGGAATGAAAAATTTTCTTTTTTTTCTTGTTTCGTGACATCTCACATTGAGAACATATTATTTGATCAATTTTATTTAGTTAAAATGGATAATTTTTTAATTTATGAAGAAATTCATAAACGTGATTCTTGTATTGTTTATCGTGGTCGAATAAAACGATCAATTGATTTTGTTATGATCTATTGTGTTGATAAATATAAACGACATGAATTAAGTAATCTTGTATGTATAAATATTAAAAAAAAAATATTCTTTGATATATATATATAATTTATATAGGTTCGATTAATGTATGAACTTGATCATCCAAATGTAATGAAATTTCGAGAATGGTATGAAACAACAAATCATCTTTGGCTCGTTATGGATTTATGTGATGGTATAATAAATTCTTTTTTTTTTTTTTTCAAAACTTATTTATTTTTGAAAAATAGGAGGTTCACTTAAATCAATTATACAAGCTGATGGATGTTTACCAGAAACATCTATACGTACAATTGGTATTCATATATGTCAAGGTTTATATTATCTTCATCAACAAGATATTATTTTTTGTGATCTTAATCCTGAAAAAGTATTAAAAAACAAAAAAAATTGTTTTTCCTCTTTTTTTT